GAATCCAATACCTGGGTGCCTCCATTTTGTTTTCCTCTGTCCTTGATGTCTGCAATGGCACTTTCCTTATGCCTCACTTGTTGCCAGAGTTTGGCGAAGAAAAGTGGGAGTAACGCTTTAAGGCAGGAAAACTAGAAATAAGAGATAACACGCAGATATTATAGATAGTGTGATCAAGTATGATGCAATGTAGGTGGAGTAGAACGTTTCCACGTTCTGAAGATCACCATCTGATTTCCAGTAATAAGCATCTGATAAGTTTTGTCTCACGGAACATTAAGGTACATGAGTGAAGTCAACGTCTGAGACATCAGTCCAGAAAGTTTGCAAAAAAGAGCATGTTTATCCAACAGTGAGAGGAGAGGTAAGAACATTTTTAGGCGTTTGTGAAGATGCAAAGTACAATCTAAAATACATAATATTTCTTGTTTTTACAAGGTCAGACTGAGAGTTCAAGCCTTCTTAGAATACAATTTAAAACAAACTTTCTGACTGATATATAGCATCCCATGTTACCTGATATATATACAATTGACCCACTTTAGTAGCGCTCTCTTTATTTTATCACTTGTTCAGTCATGTAAATTCCCATTCCACCTACCTTCTTTACAATTACACCCATCAAATGCCTCCAATTGCTTGATCACTTGCCCACTTTGTTTAACCTTTATACTAAGTATTTCCTGATTTAATCTACCCATATATAAATATAAATATATATATATATATATATATATATATATATATAGGTTTTTATTTATTTTATTTTTTATTTAAGCCTCAAAATACAAGCATAGTATACAATTAATATATACGACAAGATAGCATACACAGGAAAATGCGTGACAACATTATGTGACGTTTCGGGCATCAGCATGTGGAATGAAAGTTTTCTGTTTAAAAAAAAGAGTAAGTGGGCTGCTGTGTTAAGTCGAAAAGCTTAAACAAACCAAGGAGATATATAACTGGGCATGCAATAATTATACTGTGTGGCATTGTTTAAGTAATAACAAGAGAGAACAAAAAATATATATATACAAACAGTCAAAAGAAAAGAAAATAGAACAATAATCAACTGAGTAGACTTTTCTAGAGATTGTATCAGGTGGCATAGTAACGTGTTCAGGTAACCACTCAATTTCAACGGAATCCCTGGCTTGGGCAGAGTCCCAGATAGTTCCCTGAGAGGTGAGGAATTTCAGCCAGGTAGCACCCCACTTCTCCAGCCCAAGACATCAATCAAAACCAGCATCTAATGTCCACTGACCCCACCTCCAGTAGTTAGAGTCCCGAGATAGTTCCATTAAGTAATCACCAGTTGACTTGTGGAGTATAAGCAGTGATCCTCTCGAGTGTGTGTAGATGGTGCTCAGGTTCCTCCAGGTAGAATCGGCTGATCAGGAAGTGTGTTGATTTGTTGCTGTCAATCGTCAAGTCATTTCCAAATCTAGTGCCACTAAGATGTTAGATTTTCTCTTCCACCATTCGAAACATTGAAGGACAGGCGGTGGACATCTTGGAATATCTAAAAAACTCTACTGGAAAAAGCCAATAAACTGACCAGGAGTAAGTAGATATAGTGAAATAGAAAATACAAAATATAAATCATAGGATATAACAAGAATGGGAAAAATAGAAATCGATATAGACCTTAGTACGTGATAGATCTACTAAACAGTGATATCATGGACATATAAAAATGTATAAAAAATAGATATTAAAAATAAAACAAAAAATTAAAAAAAAATCCTAAATGTATATTACACATTGATCAAAGTCCATCTGGGTAAAACACCTGAATGTGGGTAAATAAATAAATAATAATAGTCTGTTGCTATATCAGCTAAGAATGATCCCAGAAAAATTACCTACTATAATACAAGCAGGAAAATATACTGATGGAGCTGAAGATAATATAGTATCAGTCTTATATCCTAAAATAAAATACAGACTCATACATAAATAATTAGGATCATACAATCTAAATCAGGATATTGTATCATTAAAAATCGCAGAGGGGGGCGTGGCCTAACAGCCGACGGAGATGGCGGCTTGAGAAGGGAGCTCCCGCGCATCCACACTCACCCGAGCCCCTACAAGCCGCACCGCGACCGCTCACAGACGCCTGCATGCCCCACAAGGGTCCCAGTGCCACCCCACGAGGGAAGAAACGACGGGATCCGCTCACCTCCGCCCCGACCGTGGCAGACATGTTCGCGGCCTCAAATGCCGCCCAGGCCACACAAGATGGCCGCCGGACACGAGACTCCCGCTCCCCATCAACAGGTACAGACAGGGGACAGCCCGACCAGACGGGCGACGCCACCAGGCACATCCTCCAGCAGCTAACGGAGGTAAAAACATTCCTGGCAGGGGAGATCACACGCAGCACCCTAGATATTAAAGCAGAGATCCAGGCCCTGGGCGCCCGCACGGCAGAGCTAGAACAGCGCATGGAAACGCTAGTACAAGGTCACAACTCAGTAATAACACACTCCACAGCCCTGAATCAGCGCCTCAGTGACTTAGAAATGACTCCAATCGCACCAGGCGAAACAACCTTCGAGTCAGGGGATGGCCGGAAGCAGCACAGGAAGGCCCCTTGGCACCTATTATGGAGGCATACTTTAGCAAACTGCTACCAGAAATACCCAAGGCCCAATGGGCGATGGACCGGGCACACAGGGCTCTCCGCGCCCGGCGCCCGAACGCAGACGCGCCATGGGACATAATAATATGCTTCCATTACTTTTCAACTAAGGAAGCTCTATTGAGACACAATAGACACCAAGACTTCACCTATAAGGGCAAATCCATATCTCTATTCCAGGACTTGGATCCGAGCACGCTGCAAAGAAGGAGGGAGTGGAGGCCACTGACAGATCTATTACGGCAAAATGAAATCCGCTTCACCTGGGGCCACCCCTTTAAAATTGTGGCCTTCAAAGTGGGGAAGACAATCACTTACTTACCGGGAGGAGACCCACGAAAATTCCTCCGAGATCTGGACATCGCACCGCCACGAGAGCTCACTCTACCGGGACCGGCTCGACCGGCTCTCACACCCCTCCCAAGGGACTGGTACACGGTCACAGCACAAGCGGAGAGAGAGGCCTGAAACCAGCAGCAGGACTAAACGGCCGCAAGGCTCAAGACAGCAAGCTCCACACGCCGGACAGATAAGCTCACCCAAGGGACAACCATAATTTTTTACCTGAAATTTTTTTTTTTCTCTCTCCTCCTCCAGCCCCTCAGGCATGGGCGGGGCCCTGAGAGACCCAACGCACAGGGACCGCCACTTCTTAAATGCACTTCCCAGGCTATGTCAGGCTGACCTCTACTCCGCCTCTAGAGGCGCAGCCTTTACCCTTTTATATACCTTACTACACGCTTTATACCTCAAGCAAGAGATGACAGGGGCATGTTATGGGGGGGAGGGGTAGTGCTGGCTGACACACGGCACACCACACGAACTGTCCGACAACACGAGGCCAAAGAGGCCAGGTAGACCCTGGGGGGGACTAAAACACACAGTGTTCGCACACTCTGAGGGAGACACACCAAGATATCCCGCACCGAACTTTCATCTGCAGCTACTCGTTATAAGGTGGGGGGGGAGGGGGGCGGGGGGGAAAGGCGGGCTGACGTACTGACAACCTACAAACGTAATCACCACATACCATACCTCTTTTCGGGAGAGGTACCCCTGACGGCATCACCAATGACAAGATAGCACCCACGTACACTAGACGGGGAAACTAAGCTCAGACCCACCACAACCGCTGGTAGCATGGTGAAGGCCACACGTAGTTCTCCCACATTCCACCGACGCATACACGACTTGGACAAACTGGGGGACTACATCATAGCGAACATCCTGCGCCATGGGACGTACAAGAAACTCAGTACAGACGCGACAGAGAGCACTCTAACTTCTCGGCACCAGCGGTGTGCCCTAGACCAAGGGCTATAGCACAAAAACGGTTGCTAAACACAGCGCAGTGGACAGGCGCGGGGCACTCACCAACTCCGAGAGATGGCATTCCACACGTCACTCGGAGGGGGTGAACACCCCCACTTTAATCTGGCACAGGTTAAGACCAGATGGTTATTAAATGTTTATCTCTTATGTATATGTAAATGTTTATTGACAATGTTTTTAGATACTCAACATTTCTTCTTCTCTCTTATACTATCTCTTAAGACAAGTACTAATCTTCAACCCAACTACCCTGCCTGGATGCTGCCCGCGCCGCTGGGACTGGGCCCCACAACCGAACACACACACACCGCCCTCCGCAGTTCCCGGAAGACGGGAGACCATACAACGCTTATTGCGCCGAGTGCGCCTCCGCATGGCTCTTAAGGTACTCTCATTCAATGTCAAGGGCCTCAACTCGCCCAACAAGCGTCGATTACTGGTAAGAGACCTAAAGACCAAGCAAATAGACATAGCACTGATACAGGAGACTCACCTCCCCAGGTCGGCAGCCACCAGACTAACGGACAGGACTTATACAACGGTGTACGAGGCGCGCTCACAACGAAAGCGGGCAGGGGTGGCAATACTCCTGCGCAGGAGTTGTCCACTGCACGTCACGACCATCCAAACTGACCCAGAGGGGAGATTTGTATACATAGGGGGCACTCTCTACACCACCAAAGTACATATCGGCAATGTATATGCCCCCAACGAGCCGGACCAGGTGTTCTGGACGAACCTGGAGGTGTTGGTGGCGGGGACGGGGGGGGGAGTCCTCCTTGTCGGAGGTGACTTCAACGCGGTGCCAAGTCCAGCAGCTGACAGGAGCTCAAAACCAGGCACAGTGCGATCACAGGGCAGAGGGGGACAAGACAGGCAACTACACACATTCCTGACACACACAGCCCTCCTAGACGCCTGGCGCCTACAACACCCAACTACGACTGATTACACTTACTACTCGGCACCACATAACACCTACTCTAGAATAGATAACATGTTTCTCAATGGAGCAGGGATGGCCAAGGTCCTCCACACAGACATTAACAACATCACGTGGTCAGACCACGCAGACATAACACTCACGCTAGGCAGCCTATGTTACAAGTCCAATTGGTCTTGGAGGCTTAATACTAGCCTCTTAAGAGACGACACAACACAAGCCACAACCCGACAAGCCATCACAGAATACTTTGAGATAAACGTAACCCCCGAAGCTAGCCCTACCGCGATCTGGGCAGCGCATAAAGCAGTACTACGCAGCCACTTCATTAAACTAGCCACACAGAAAAAGCGGGCTAAAACAAAACAGCTACTCGAGCTACAGTCTGCCCTACGTAAAAAAGAGCAACAACACAAAACGAATCCGACAGACTTGAACCTTAGGGAACTCAATAACCTCGGACACTCTATCAGGGACCTCACCTTGGAGGCGGTATCACGCTCTATCCTATGGTCCAAACGCTTGTTTTACGAGAAAGCAAATAAGACAGATACACTCTTGGCTAGGGCGCTCCGCCCGAGACCGCAAGGCAAAATCATAACAAAAATACGCACAACAGATAACACACTAGCCGAAACGCCCGACGAGATTAATGCAGTGTTCACCTCCTACTTCTCAGAACTATACAACCATTCCCCCCGCCTCCGGGCCACCAACGCGGCCTACATTGCAGACATACACCAATTTCTCTCTGAACTCCCAAAGGTGCGGAAGCGGGGCGGAAGCACTACAAGAACCAATCACACAACTCGTGGTGGAGGCAGCCATAGCTTCCCTGAAAGGCAATAGGGCACCAGGTCCGGACGGATATGACATTAGCTATTACAAACAATTCAAAGACGTATTAGCCCCCCAGCTGACGACCCTTAGCAACCATTTTCTGCAGGGTGGGACACCTGATGGCGACATGGCGACAGCAAATGTTGTCCTCCTACCAAAACCAGGGAAAGACGACACACTGGCCTCGAGCTACAGGCCAATCTCACTTATTAACACTGACCTCAAAATATTCGCCAAAATCCTGGCGTCCAGACTCAACGTACTGCTCCCGCGCTTGATCCACCCAGATCAGGTGGGCTTTATGCCAGGCCGCCAATTGTATGAAAACACGAGACGAGGGGTCAGCACAATCTGGCACATGGGGGAATCCGGGGCGCCTTCTCTGGCGCTCTCACTAGACGCGGAGAAGGCGTTTGATATGGTGTTATGGCCTTATTTATTTGAATTACTCCGATTCCAGGGGTTCCCGGAGACCTTCGTAACAGCTATACGAGCATTATACACCGATCTGAGGGCACAAATACTCATCACAGGGGCACGCGCAACACCCTTCACCCTGGGAAACGGCACCAGACAGCCCATTGTCCCCCCTGCTCTTCGCCTTAACCTTGGAGCCACTACTACAAGCTATCAGGCAACACCCGCACATCAGGGGCGTCACGGTGGGGGGAACACCATTCATGGTCTCGGCGTATGCCGATGATGTCATGCTGACGCTCAGGGAGCCGAGACACTCTCTCCACCATTTATCGCTCGTACTGGAGCGATTTGGCAATATAGCAGGGTACAAAATTAACTACTCCAAGTCCGAGGCAATGCCCTTCCACCTGGAGCCCCCGGAACTCACCCACATACGCGACACGTATCACTTCAAGATAACCACTGACGAACTCATGTATCTAGGGATACGGCTAACAGCGAACACATCCTCCCTATTTGCCCTCAACTATACACCCCTATTCCGGACCCTTCTCGCAGAACTAGAGCAGTGGACGGACAGGCCCATCTCATGGCTGGGGAGAGTAAACTCTATAAAAATGAATGTGCTGCCGAGGATACTATTCCTCTTTCAAGCACTCCCAATAAGAGTAACACGGAGGGACCTGACGGGAATACAAAGAGCGATTGATGCCTTCATATGGCACAACAAACGCCCAAGAATCGCGCGCGCCCTCATGTACAGACCGAAACCCAGGGGGGGGCTGGGACTACCCAATGTCTACACCTATTATCTAGCTGCACAGCTGACACAGGTGATACAGTGGCACACGCCTCCTGACAGGAGACGGTGGGTGGATCTAGAGTCGCTGATGACGGGTCAGCATCTCCCGCAATTTTCAATATGGGCACCCAAAACGCAAAGAGCCATATTAAGAACAGCGAACCCAGCCATACTCAACTCCATACAGATTTGGGACCAAACCAAAACGAAATACGCCCTCAGCTCCCACCCGTCCCCCATGACACCAGTCCTTAGGAATAGGGCCTTCCCTCCCGGAATGCAGGCGAGAGACTATAAGGGGATAGAGGCCACGGGACTCCAAAGATACGTACACCTATATGTGAACCAAAATGTAGTCACCTACGAACACCTAGCCACCAAAGCCAACTTACGAACAAGAGACTACTTTAGGTACTTGCAGATCCGTGACTTTGCACAAAACCCTGACATACGGAAGGCGGCTCTGACACCACTAACCTTCTTCGAAAAACTATGTTACAATGAGACAACATAAACTAAACTCATTACGCTACTATACAACCACCTCAATGGGAACTCGAACGAGAAGGGCACGCTGCGATACACCGACCAGTGGGAAGCCGACCTGGGGGAGGTATTAGAGGGAACGGAGTGGCAGGATATATGGGAAGCATGTAGCAAAACCACAATATGTGTGACGCTCCAAGAGCAATCGTATAAAACACTATTTCGATGGTACCTGACCCCCGTGAAACAGAAACATATGGGACTAAGTCCCACAGATGACTGCTGGCACGGGTGCGGGGGGCGGGGCACGTATATACATATGTGGTGGGGCTGCCCGAAGGTCGCAGACTACTGGAGTAACATTGTGGAGCGTAGCTCCCAAATCCTGCAACGGCGACTGGGATTAGACCCATGGGCATGTCTGCTCTCAAGACCCACAAAGGATCTCCCCAGACACGAGCAAAGACTTCTTAACATGCTCTATTTAGCGGCCCGAAGGTCCCTAGCACAACAGTGGTCATGTCCTGATCTCCCACATATATCCCTGGTTAAGACAAAAATGCGAGACAGTTACATAATGGATAAATTGACCTCTCAGGTGCGAAACACCATGACTAAGTTCCAAAAAGTCTGGGACCTGTGGGAGCAATACGATACTTAGCACAACAACTTGGGGCGCGGGGCAGCATCCACGCAACCTTCAATTGGCGAGGCGGGGGCCCACCAAACGCCAACCACCACATCAACACTCGGACAGGCAGAAGAGGCACCACTGCTAGACGAGGGTGGGGCCGGACCCAGCACATAAAACACAACTTAAGGGAACTGACTACCCCCGTCGGTAGTTCACTCGGTAACCATATCAAACTGATATAGCTAAACACGCAGGTACTTGTCTCCAACTCTTTACTTTCCTTTTCTATCTCTCTCTTGTAGGCAGGCACCCCAGACCTGTAAGTAAGCAGGAGGGGAAAGGCAGATAAAAGCACATCAACGTTTTGTGGTGCGTAGAAGGGAGGGAGGGCGCAGTCGCATACCCCAGGAAGCGGGGAGACTGACACTCCACTCTATAAGCCTAACCCTTCACAGCAAAGCTATTGTACATAGTTAACACTGCTTGCCACCTATACCAAAAATTCAGACGAAGTCACCCACAGAAAACTTGATGTATATGATATGCCTAAACTGACAACTGTCACTTGCATTCTATATGCTAATGTATGACTGCGCTGTCATGTACATAAATGTAACTGCTTTCATGATTACCATCTACTTTGTCAAACCAAAAATAAAGAATAAAAAAAAATTTAAAAAAAATCGCAGAGTGCTCGAAGTACATAGAGTCTGTGCCGGATTCTGTAATATACAATACAGAGACATGGTGCTCTCTAAAAGAGATTTTATTGAAAAAGACAAAAATGCACTCACAAAAGGGTTGGCATATGGTACCAGGTCGGTAGCCTACAATCCAAGAAATCCTAGTAGCTTCCTCCTGCCGGCCAGATTGGGGGAAGTGTGAATCTCTGTGAGGTGTCAGACACTGGATGTTCGCCGTGTGCGTTCCAGTGCAGCTCGGGATGCATTCCCCTTGACAGCCTTCTGAAAGCTTCGAGTATGATGCTTGCCTTACGCTTTTCGTGATCGGTTGATCACTTCATCAGAGGATCTTGGAATATCTACTTGGCATTCACTATATTGCCCAGATCAGGTAGGATAGAAATGCTTCCTTGATGGGAACAGGGATAACCCCCATTGGCCCAAAAGGGGAGAAGTACATGGCCCTGGATATACTCACGCCCCGCATGCCCACCCGCCCGAAAAACACACGCTAGAGGACTCTCCGGTCCCCCTGACAACACCAGCAACATCCCTGGACTCCCCCACGGACTCGACCCCTACCACCAAACACGATCTAAAGATCTTACTGGCGGAGATCCAGAAAACGCTGGCAGCGGAACTTGCTCCCATTAGAACGGAGGTAACAGCCATCAAAGACCGGGTGAAGGCCTCAGAAGAGAGCATATCTGACCTACAGGACCACCTGTCCACCCTACAAGACTCAGTACATCGGGTCTGGACCCAGCAAAAAACCCTGACAGCCCAGGTTACTGCCATAGAGGAGAGGCAACGCTGCACTCACATCAAGATAAGGGGAATACCCGCGGCAATCTCAGGGGAGGAATTACCCCACTACATAAGACGCTTACTGGCAACCATACTACCCCACGCCGTGGCCAAAAAGCTACAGGGGGTATATCGCCTGCCCAGCAACACCAAACTGCCACCCAACAGTGCTCGAGACGTTATTCTCAGATGCCTAACAGTTCCTGACAAAACCCAAATCGTGTCGGCACTCAGGGGAAGAACACCTCTGACCTTTGAGGATGCATCTCTTACATTCTTCCAGGACCTAACAAAAGGCACACTCCTATGTGCTATGCCCATTTCACAATCTCTATTTACTCTTATCTGATATGCAGTCCATCTAGCTTTCCCTTTCACTATTGCCACTGTGCCGCATCCGGTAACACTAACCCTTCAAGTCTCTCCAAAGTCCCAACCTCCCATCTCCGAGTTTCTCTCATTACCCACTTTAAAACTCTGTCTTTCTCCTTCCTGCATCCTTCTCTGTGTTTCCCCAGGCCCATCAGAATTCTGGTGGGCCAGTCTGGCCTTGAATGTTTCATGTGATTTGCAGCCTTTGTCTATAGATCCTGGTACAAAAGAAAATGTCTGCCATATTGCTTGTTACCACTCTATGGTAAAATGGTGCTGAAAAAGAGAGCAAGGAGAGACAAGTAACTGATCTGACATTACACACTGTAACAACCGAGTGAGTGTTGGTGGACATAACAAAATTATGGATATCTGGACGAAGAAACCGAAGGTGCTTAACAGCTTCAGATTTTTGTATACAGGAATTCTATACTGTGATTCAAATCTGGGAATTATCTTTGTCTTGCGGCTTCTGGTATATATATAGTGGTGGATATCAATGTTTTATAGCTAGGGGAATGATCTAAATATGTGTGGATAAGGAAACTCCATAAAGATCTGTCTGATGGGAGAATTCCTGTACCTGGTGGTGAATAAACAGATAGTCGGTAATAATATGAATCCTACAATATCAGTCCAAAGTAAACTAGTCCAGCTGAGCCATGTAAACCCAGAGTTTATACAAAATAGCAAGCAATGTATTAGATCTGAATACGAATGTGGCGAAACCGGCCTCGCCACGTGTCCTTGGAGGGGGCTGCTTGCCCGCCTCTTGCCTTTGGACTATGGACCAGACTT